CTACACCGGTTGGATTCGCTCCAAGGGCTACCCCAAGGAGATCGTTTGCGACCGGGACACTCGTTTTCTCTCCGACTTTTGGGTCGCCCTCGTCAAGCGATGGGGCTCATCTTTGAAGCCGAGTTCGGCTCGCCACCCGCAAACCGATGGTCAAACGGAAAGGGCGCATCAGACCGCCCAAGTCCTTCTACTCACTCTCATCTGTCCCGACCAGGTTGATTGGGTTGAGCGCTTGCCAAACGTTGAGTTGGCTTACAACTCATCGATCCACCCGGCYATCGGGATGTCGCCATTCGAGTTTGAGCATGGTTCACCCATCTCATCGCCGCTGGACGCCACTTTGCCGCGCACAGCCGAGAGCGACGACCATCTTGTGTTCCTTCGTCGCATGCAAGAGCTTCTTGTCAAGGCACGAGATCAGATGTCAAAGACGCAAATACGGATGAGCCGTCAAGCCAACCGCAATCACCTTCCTTGCTCGTTCCGCGCCGGCGATCTGGTTTGGGTCTCCGCCACGGAGTTCAGCCTTGAGCAAGACATCTCTCGCAAGCTCCTTCCCAAGTGGATGGGGCCTTGGCGCATTCTCTTTGCAGTTGGTGATGATCCCGAGGGGCCTTCATTCCGCATCGCGGTGCCACCTCACTTGCCCGTCCACACGGTGTTCCACTGTTCCAAACTCGCACCGTTTGTTTCAGCGGAGTCCGACGAGTTTCCCGGTCGACGTACGCAAGACCCTCCTTCCATGAACGGATTTCAGGAGGCCGGCTACATCATCACCGACCGGCGCCATGGCAACAACTTAACAGAGTTTCTACTTCACTTTTCCTACTGCAGCCACAAGGCTGACCGTTGGCTGACGCGTTCGGAACTGCAGGCCACAGCCCCCACCGTTCTCTCACGCTATCTTAGCAAAGGGAAGACTACGCCAAGCTCTTCAGCTCCGCGCCATCCTCGCTACATTCCGCCATCGGATCGGCAGCTTCGCCCGCGCCCCGGCTCGTCTTCATAAGGAGGGGGGCGTGTTACATGCTGAAAGCCTACACACGGGCCCCTCACGGGACCCGAGGTTGGAATAGGGCCCCCAGGTCGCGTCACCGCAACCTGAAGGCCCTATGGCATTTTTACTTGGGCCTGCATCAGAACAACGCCAG